AGCTCGGTGCTTATCGTCGATATACAGGACATGCCCTAAATAAATCTTTACAATTAAAGAGAGTGGATCGATCAAAACACCTTCTGTCGCGATACGCAGGTGAATGTACACAGGTGAAGGTACCTCTTTACCGATGAAAAAATTTTCACGATTGAAGAACACTACAATAAACAAAATGATAAAGTGTACGCTCACAGTTGTAAAGAAACTGCTCAAGTATATAACGTGGTACAATGTGGCTAATATCTTGCGTCAGTGATGGTTTGGTAGGGCGTGTCTTATCAAGGAGTCACAAAATTACCTTTTTGTGAAAACTTTAGCTAAAGTGCATCAAGTCTTGGATCGTGTTATTTCTCAGCAATATACTCTTTGAAATATACCGTGGACTTTCCAGCAGCACTGCACCTGGTCACAAGGCACGAACCACCCAAACCTGACTTGAAACCAACGTTTCGGACTTTATAAGAGTTGAAGAATAGCCCTCATCTAGCCCAGACCACAATCCTTTAGACTTCAAATTATTGTCAGTTTTATAGCCTGCTCTAATCCACACGGCGACATCAAGTCTCTTAAAAAATCTTTGGAGCAAGTAGTGATGAAATTTTCCTTGTAAATAGTGCGTAAATCCATAAATTCGTGGCCAGACAGATTATGACCTGTATAAAAGCCAAAGGTGGCTATTTCGAATAGAATATTTTTTATTGAGACTTTAATAAATATGTAGGTATCAATTTTAGTACCATTACATTACTATTTATAATAGAACTTATGGCTGGACTAAGTAGTACAGCTGTGTGAAGCTGGGTGACCACTAATACAATATAGATATATATATAAACAAAAAGAGTTGTTTTAAGATACAAATTAGTTTTCACGTTAACAGTGTCGGACGACTATTGTTTGAATCGAACGTTTCTTAGAATCTACTAAAATGTGTATGTATGTTGTTTGCGTACATTTGTGACATATTATGCAAGAATTGATAAATGGCAGGTTACATATTTCAACTTACTTTTATGGTGGTTTTTCTATTTAATATCAATGAAGAATCCATTGATTGTTGTTTTCATCTATTACTAATTATAGCGTTCCTAATTAATAGGTAGGTATACGACTTAGGCTAGACAATTTAAATATAAGACATACTTACATACAATCTACATATTGTGATATTATTTAACAAAGTTATTTAATTTCTTGAAGGGTTTTCATAAAATATTATTGAATAATAATATCGTAAATATAAAACTTCGAATACTTACATTCCTTACCAAAGATGGTGGGCGCGAGTTGCTAACTATAATATACATTGCGAGTTTTGAACATATTTGCATTAAGTGAATTATCCGTCTAAATCAAGTATAAATGTTTCACAAGAGATGCTGTCGGTAACTGAATACTGTATATATTATTGGAACCGCTGAACATAAATTTATGGGTTTTTAGCGCGTACTACACTGTTCTATAAATATATTGTACGTACCTATGTCCAATACACATGCATTGTAGATTTTTTTTATGGGTGAAAATGCCATAGTAACCCAGCTTGCGCTATCAGTATACACTGGCGGGGTACCAGTGAAAGGTGATAGGTGAGAATGAAAAGGCAGATCAGTTAGCCCATTGTGACGAATTCAAAAATAAATTAGTCACAATAGTTTCCAGGGGGAATCGCGTGGAAGTCGACCTGATAGGGTAAGTTAATAGCAATGGGCTCTAAACTCCCCATTACTAACAATCTCTTCCCCTCTGCTGCGTAAGTATCGTGACATATTATGTCTATCACTCACGAAAGTAAAATGAAGCTGTACATAAACAATGTCCAATAATACGAGGATATCTACTCCTATTTACCATACAACAATCATTACACTTGTTAAGTGCTAGTTTTTTTTTATTTTTTTATTTAATGTATGATAATAGAATGGCAACTCCACCTACGCTAACGATAAATGCTGATGGGGCACTAATGAGATGATAGGTGAGAATGAAAAGGCAGGTCAGTTAGCCTATCGTGATGAATACACCTCGAATACAGCACGATGGTTTTCAGGGGGGACCACATGGAGGTCGACTAGACATATATACTGCTAGCAATGGGACTGGGAGTCCGCATTACTAATAATTCCTTCCCCCCAGTTAAGTGCTATAGGTACTACTAGATTTATATATACATAAACGTAAGTACAATGTCTGAACTTTGGCACGACTAATACATTCCTATTAGAGACTCGTTTATTACTCATTTATTTGTATGGCCTAGTAAATCGAGGCCTGGTATGCATTTATATATACTTATAACATACAGGCTCCGGTTAGTCTGGCAGTTTCACTTCTTAAGTGTAATACGAAGTCCGCAGAGTGAACGATATAGTTGTTGTTGAATGTTGATAATTCTGAAACACACTAAAAGTTTTACTATGATCAAAACTATAACATTGAAGTACATAGGTACAAGTTTACGCATATAAAACAGTTGCTAGTTCAAAAATCGTATTTAATATAAGTACAATAAGGGGCCCTAAACTCTCCATCCTTAGATTCCTAATCCTTCCCTAATCCCTTCTCTCCAGGATCCAGCAGCCTCGCATGCTTGGTTTATTCATCGGATACTTCAGCCAGTCCCAACATCTGCTTTTGCACGAGCGGTTGGTGCAGCTCCGAGACCAAGTTTTGCAGGCGCGAGTCCGCACTCTTAATTCTACTCAGAAGTGAGAAATATAGCTCGGCTTTTATTCAAGAATTGATTATTATTAACAAATAATTATTCACGTTAATCTCATTTCATGTATAATGCATAAGTAGTTATGTACCTGTATTTGAATGTACATGAATACCTATATATTTAGCTAATATTTATTAGCTACATTTAAAGCCTACTTTTAAAAACTATTCGTTTCTAAAATTAATTCTAACAGACAGCACATGACCGTTGGAATTGTTCGCTGGTGAAAACATTATGCATATGACGTGTGTTTGCGCTCATACATTTTTATTGGGCAACACTACGGTTTAACGACTGTACAGTTAAATATGACTATATTCAAACCAAGATGTATTTCATTTATATCCATCGTAGTTAATTAGTTTTAGAAATGAGTCAAATATTTTAGTTTTATTATTCTTCGTTCAATTGTTTTGATCGTAATTCATCGCTTTTAAAAATAATATCAATTAGGTACTTACTCAGTTTAAGATATATCTGTAGAGAGTATGAGTAATTCTTTATTTTTATTTAATTATTTCAGGCAACAAGTTTTTTTTAGTTACTTTATAGTCTAACATATAGGAATACATAAAAATTATATATTATTCTTTACAAATTGTGTCAGCGAATACGAATACTTAAATATTGCTATTATTACTTCGTACTAATGTTTATGACTAAACATTTGTATGAAATATTATTTTTGTTAATTTAATTAGTCATCAATCTCCGTAAAAAAATTCTTGTGAACTTTGAGCGATTCCTCTATATGAAGTTAGAAGTAAAATTTTTTATGACTATGTAGTCTTAAAAATATTTTATTAAATTAATATATATTTTTTTCATCATCTTTTACTTCGAACACTCGGCACTTGTAATTAATTAAAATTATGTTTTAACGTGGGGTGACACTATGGCCGGCGTACCGCAGGGTGGTGTGCTGTCACCTCTTTTATTTGCCATCTTCATCAGCTCGATACCTCTAGAAATATCTTCAGTACATGTATTCAGATGATTTGGACATAACAGACTAATCATGACTGTTTCGCCCATGATTAATCCAGATAAAACGCAAACGATTATTATGCTTACATATCCAAGTTAGATATATCTAAATTCCAGTGGAGTGTAATGGTGTTTGTGTCCCTTTTAGTGAATCTGTCAGATTGTTATTCCTCTGCTTCTACCCAGCAAAATCATATAGTCTAACATATAGGAATACATAAAAATTATATATTATTCTTTACAAATTGTGTCATGGCATACCCTCTCTTTGTTACATAATACTATCTTAAAGAACGAATACTTAAATATTGACACCTTCTATTATTACAATTCCTTCACTGTACTAATGTTTATGACTAAACAATTGTCATAAAAAATATTTTTTTTTTGTTAATTTTTAATCTGTCATAAATCTCCGTAAAAGACATATATACATGGGATTATATAATTTTGTTTGTGAACTTATGAGCGATTGTTCCATATATATGAAGTCATGATGTGTGTGTGTATGTGTATGTATATATATTATGTATATATGTGTGTATATATGTATATAATATATATTTTTTTCATCATCTATTTTACTTGTACAACAATTAGAACAGGTTGTCTTGAAAAGACACTTGTAATTAATTAAAATCGTTATGTTTGTAAATAGTCTTGTTTATAAGATGAGTATACTCATTCATTCACTCATTCATTATTATGTGATAAAGAGAGGAATTTGGTGAGAAAGTAGCAAGGACTAAAAATGTAAAATTGATGTCATTTTCTGCGTTTTGTTAGAGATTTTGATTCTTGTTATCCATTCTTCTTTTTACATCATATCGTATCAGGTATTTCCTGCCCACTGCTGAACATAGGCCTCCCCTATTGGAGAGTTTTGCCAGTAATAAGTTAAATAATAATAAATAATAAACAGTATATAAAAGAAATAATAAACAGTGTATAAGTTAAATAATTTTTTTGTTGTATAAATTATATTGTGTTTTGACTTGTTTACATATGCTGCCTTGAACAAAACATTATTGTACTGGATGTTAATTCTCTGTAATGTGCCTATTGAAATAAAATAAAAATAAAAAATAAAGTAATTGCCACGATTATCAGGCGGATTGACAACCGCAGTTAGGCTTTTAGTGATGTTTTAAGATGGATGTTGGTGCCCATATCTCAATTATTAAGTTCGCTTAGTTACCTTTTACGATAACCACGGGAAAGAAATGGGTGGCCCATTCTATGCTGGGACCACACAGCAACTTATTATCACATTTCTTTCAAATTGTAGGATAGCCCAGCCGGTGTTCCTGGGTAAATTAGTTGAATACTACAGTCCAGGAGGGCAAACCATTAAGCGGAATGAAGCATACTTCTACGCTGGCGGGGTGGTACTGTGTTCTGCTCTCAACGTGTTCGTCGTGCACCCATACATGATGGCCATACTACACATGGGCATGAAGTTCAGAGTGGCTTGCTGTTCACTTATTTACAGGAAGGTGAGTTCAACTTTATAAATATAGAATTTATCACAATACCACTGAAATGAAATTCGGTTTTTTTTTGTGATTGAAAAATAGAAGCACACGGATTTAGAATCGGTTATATTGCAGACTTTGTAAAGCCTGTCTCTTCTGGTTAGATATACGAACTCATCAATAATTCATCAATAATATTTTTATCTTATGTCAAATAATGGAAAATGACCAGAAGTATGATGACGATGATGTCGATAAGAATGTGATTGATGCATTAGATAGTAGTTACAATTAGTTTTAGCTTCCTCAACATTTTTTGCAGTTAAAACTCAATATATTTATACGAGAATGAAACACATTTAAATATGTTTCGTATCTATAAGAAGTTATTATATAATTGACATAAGTATGTTATATCATAGAGATAAGATATCATATCGAACACGAGCAATCACAGCAAAGATAAATTCACGCACCCCTTTAGAGATTGTAGACGCTACTTGTGATACCTACGCTCAAGTATCTTATCAGGTTTCATTGAAATTGCTTTATCTAATAACAAAAATGACTGTCGAAATGTGTCTGGCTGTACACGAGATAAGTTGCAGATGTTCCGTAGCTATTTTATCGTGACATTTGATATCAAATTCAATCTGCACACTATTAATGTTAAGATAATAGTCTCTTATTATAATGACAATTACCGTATTTATATCATTCAATTGCTTTTTTTTATATTTTTTGTATAAGAATTATATAATAATTAAATTTATGTTCATATCTAAATTTGTTTACAATTGACACATTTTCTGTATCTCTATTTTACAAATAGATTTCAGCAAACTATAATAAAGTAACATCTATTCGGAGATTTCATATTTATAACTAGAGATATTAACCATACAAATACAGTTCTAAAACATAAATAATAATATATCTATCCTATACGCAAATCTCTCAGATATATTTCTGTGTAATAAAGTTTTTTACTGACATCCGGAATTCTATATATGAATCGTAAAGGAAGGTCATCATAAGCCCAATAACTGCTGATGAATGGCGGGCTTTGTGCAAAATCTATATTGCATGTTGTATTTTTATCAGTCAGTTTTTTTTATTAAAAGAAAATTTATATCAACGTGTCAATTATTTGATCGATAACAGTAATGTATGTACTTGTGAACTTGTAAACTTAATGAATCCGAGATTTTTTTTTTAATGGATGATAATAGAATAGTAACCCCACCCGCGCTATCGGTATACACCGGCGGGGAAGAATGATAGATGAGGATGAAGTAGGTCAGTTAGCCCATCGTGACGAATTCAACAAGAATTGTTCACGATGGTTTCCAGGGAGAACCACGTGGAGGTCGACCTAATAAGGTATATTGCTAGCAATGGGGCTGTCAAACTCCATTGCTAACAATCCTTTTCCCCCTGAATCCGAGATTAATGCTGTTCCATATATGTATGTGTATTATATATGTATGTGAATCCCTCTATTCTCTCATATCACCCACACAAAAAGAAGTATTAAACAGTCAAATATCAGGAATCTAATAAAAAAAAAGTAATCATAATAATAGTATATATTTTTCCGTCTGAAAACAGTTAACTTTAGAAAATTCTCTTTATTTATTTAATTTTTTAATAAATCATAATGAGGCGGTAACTTTACTTGGGCTATTGATATAAGCTGGCAAGGCACTAGTGAGTAATGAAAGTAAAGATGAAAGCAGGTTAGTCGGCACATCTTGACGAATACATAAAAATTTAATCTCGATGGTTTCCAGATGGAACCGCGTGGAGCTCGATTTGACTAGGTATATTGCTAGCAATAAGGCTGTTAGTCCTCAAAGTCTCTTTATTAGTAGTGACTTGTAACCAAACTTTTTAAGACCTACTGCAGGCGCCAGTCTCACACAAAACTGGTCTCATTTATTTAAATGTACTTTTTTTTCATTTTGTGAAGAAAAAAATAAACTATTTATTTATTACGATTATAGTTACCTATATGAGATTAGATTAATACCTGTCTATTAAATATTATTTAGCTCATTATACTTAATAAATTTAAGTTATGATTAACAAAAGATGTTTTTCCATATATTCTTAAAGCTATATTTGTTTCAGTCACTCAGATTATCAAAAACGGCACTCGGGGAGACGACAGTGGGTCAAGTGGTGAACCTTTTGTCTAACGACGTGAACAGATTTGACGTGGCGATAATTTTCCTCCATTACCTATGGATTGGACCGCTCGCCACTGTCATCATAACTTACTTTATGTGGCAAGAGATCAGTTGGGCAGCGGTCGTCGGGGTCGCGTTCATGTTGGCGTTTATACCCTTACAAGGTATGGGGTTTGTTTTTTAATACTATTAAAAGTTAGCGGCGTGTCGGAAAGTGGAAACGTTGATTGTAGAAATAAACATTGTTACAAGAGCAGTAGCAGTAATCATGATTCTATTTTCAGACAAGGAAAATCTATGTCTAAAAACTTTTAATATACTTAGTACACCTGCTACAAAACGTTTATCGATGATATTTATAATAAATATTAAGATATATCTAATATATAAAATTCTCGTGTCACGGTGTTTGTTACCAAACTCCTCCGAAACGGCTTTACCGATTTTCATAAAATTTTGTGTGCATATTCGGTAGGTCTGAGAATCGGCCAACATCTATTTTTTATACCCCTCAATGATAAGGGTGACCCACCTCTAAAAATTTTTTTTTTTTATTTTTTGACATTTTTATTTAAATATGATTTAGCATTGAAAAATACATACAACTTAAAATTTTCATCGTTTTACGATCAACCCCTGTATTTTAATCGCGATTTTTATATTTCGCAATAAGTGGTAAAACAACGTTTACGGGGTCAGCTAGTAGATTTATAAAATTAAATCATAAATGCTCTTCGATCGGGACCGAAACATTCACTTGTTGTCTACACTCAAACCGAATCACAACTACTAACGTCGTCTTAATTGAACACAAAAAGCATTCATTATTTAAAATTTAATACTAATTAAGTAACAGTCTTCCAAATTTTCATATTTATGTTATTAGCACAGCGTAAGAATAGCAATAAAATATAAAAGAATAGGAAAGGATATGTTGTGTAATAATAATGTGTAATTTTTTTTTATACCACTGAGGTGGCAATCAAGCATACGGCCCATTTGATGGTAAGCGGTTACCGTAGCCTATGATCGCCTGCAATACCAGAGGTATTACGCGCGTGTTGCCGACTCTGAAGAAACCTCTTTATCCACCTTTATGTTAATAAAATGAACAATATTATTGTTGTGTATTGACTATGTGATGCAATACCTAGAGCTGATAAAATATGTGAATGCACTTGTGTATTCAATGTCCCAACAAATTGAAAAATATACGTACATAATAACAAGTTGACCTACAATTGACATATTTTTTATTCATGTCTTGTATATAAATATAATAACTAACTTGTTTAATAAACTACGCGATAGCATCTAGTGCATTAAACTGCGTATATTGTACTTGTAAAATAATCTACTTTTTATGCTAATAATCCTTATCTGTTACCATAAGTTGTTGATGCATTAATGCTTCTTGTATTAATGATTTCACAAGATCAAAACATTTGACTGTAACACAACGTTATATTCATAACAGTCATAATTCTTAATTTAAAAGATAGCGACTAAACACACGTGCACAAATAATAGCTAATGTAGATTTGTAGGACAGTTTAGTTTTTATGTAAATGGTAGCACTGGATAATATATAAAATACTTACAGGCCACTAATTATAATAACCTTATTTCGTAAGTAACTATTACACAGATGTTTCAAACTGATTAGATATATATTATAAAATGTACAAAGTATCTCGTTGATAAAATGACTAGAAAAACAAATGTTCTGATAGCTAAACTAGATTTCACAATTGCTTACTAATTCAAAAGCAAATATTGACTTGGACTTCGTGTGTAATAGTAACAGAGGTGGTATTGTTCCTCCTAGAAGAATAAGTATGGTAACATAAGGAGTTCCGTAAGATATCTATTGTTAAATAACGTACTTTTCCATTGAATTGTCAGAGTTTTAAGCTGACAGTAGATGTTGACTTGGACACTCGATAATCTCAACAACTATTATGTGATCTTAACGTTACAGAAGTACTTAGTATACGTGCCATTCTATATGATCACACATCTAAGTAAGGACCACGTGTACCATAACTGCTTGACCTCACCGATCGTTGAACAACGAATGCGAATTCAACATACTTTTTTTTTTTAAATATAACATAATGACGTGGCAATTATATAGTCCATCTGGTAGCAATCGTCTGTCACTACAGTGGACTTCTACAAACAAAAAGAACACTCACGCATGTCTGATCCTTATGGTTTAAAGATCTTTATGCACAGTACTCAATAATTTCACTTTTATATTTTGTCCTATAAACCACAGTACAGCATGAAGGCATGTTAGCATTGTAAATATATGTAAGAGAAATAGGTAGGTAGGTGTACTCCAGCCGATTTTCTATATAGTCTCTCCCTTGAATATGTAGGTACTTGTTTGGTATCTGCATCAATAAAAAAAAAATAGGATTAACATTGCCATACTTAACAATACTTATTTATTAAATAATTCATAGCCCTTCATAGAATAATAAACGTTACTGTCTTGTTAGAAATTAGTTCATTATTTGCTTGAACGCGCTTTAGGTATGTGGAAGTAGCTTAAGACTATTAAAAGGAGGTTATCAATTCGCCTATATTTTTAAGCGGGTATGTATACAATACGCAGAATAAGAGAAGTCTTTGAACCGTTTTCACAATTGTTTTTTTTTTTTTTTGATCGATGTGTATTCTTCCTATGGTATATTGATTTTCAGTGTCGCATTTATCGCAATATATTATCAATGTCGCATTTTGATTAAACATCATCATTTATTTTTGAACAGCTTACTTGGGTAAACGTACATCAGTACTGCGACTGAAGACAGCCTTGAGGACTGATGAACGCGTGCGGCTCATGAACGAGATCCTCTCCGGGATCCAAGTTATTAAGATGTACACATGGGAAAAGCCCTTTGCTGACCTCGTCGCTAAGGCCAGAAAGTTTGTAAACGTCATCTTAAGATATTTAAGTTATATATATATTTTTAAATATATGTTAATTTTTTTTATGCATAGATGTTGATCTACCCGATAAAACAGTAACCATCGCATATAGACATGAACGGCATCACTTATATGAATGTACTATGTAGAACTTTTGAAGCGTTCTCCCCCTTCAGGACTGCACGATTGCACGGAATATCTTATAGGATAAATTGTTGTGCCATGCACAAAATAATGATTCATAGCAGAAAGAGGTAAAATAGAGTTACTTATTAGGGTGAATCACACAAACTTATCACCTTAACTTCTATTATTGCTGTACAATGAGAATTATAACGAGGAACTTCATTATTTATTATGTTATTGTGTAATTAAATGCAATTGTTTTTACGGAATATCAGCGATACAAATAAATATTAAGTACTGCTACTGTTACATATATGTAAGCAATGCGCAGTAGCGTCTCTCTTAAAACAACGTGGCAACTACTGGAAAAACCCCCTAAGAGGAAGATCTAGAAGTCTCTGCTGAACATATCAGCAGAGACGTCTATTTCGAGTATACCTTCTGTTTCATCGATGTATTGTGTCTTTCATCACTTTCGATTAAGGAACAAAGCATAATACTTGACACTTGGGAATCAAACGGAGTGGTGATACATAGTATTCTTTATCACTACACGGATACCATGCCTCAGACTTGACCAAGTGCATTATGTCACAGGGGGAGTACTTTGAAGGGGATAAAATTGATTTACCTGAATTTTTTTAAAAACTTTATACACTTTGACAAACCTCGTACCTTCTGTTTCACATGAAATACTTGATCATTTTTTTCTTGCAGACATGATTCGCTCAACGTCGTACATCCGCGGTGTGCTCACCTCGTTTATAATGTTCACGACCCGGATTTGCCTGTTTTGTTCCATCCTAGCGTATGTGTTGGTGAACAACGTGATCACCGCCAAACAGGTGTTCGTCGTCACCAGCTTTTACAATATTCTGCGGCAAACTATGACCGTCTTCTTCCCTCAAGGTGAGCCTGTGTATTTTTAATTATAAGTTACTAATAATAATAATCATTAAAAGTATATACTCAATCCCATATATCAACGCACAGCCGAAACCGCTTAGTTTAGAATCTTGCAATTTTGCTTTTAAGTTCTTTAATAGTTCGTAGCTAAACAATCCTGAGCGGATAAAATGGGGCTTGAAAGTTTTTAGAGATAGGAATAGTCCCAATTCAAACGTCAATAACTTAATTGCTAATTTATTAGGTCACTTTGTTAATAAGACAGAAGTCGAGTTTGTTTTAATAACATTGTAATCTTAGAAATGCTATCGACCTAATTGCCGAGGATGAGTCTTGTCATTCATTACATTGAACTGTAATAAGCTATATATTTTGCGTAAATTACGATAAAAGGCCCTGTGTTTATCTAAGAAGTGATTCATTCACGAATGGACGACATTGAATATTCTGTGGAATGGGTCGAAAGCGATATAAAATTTTGAATAGCTTATAGTAACTTGAGAGCTGGGCGAACAGTGATGATTAAAATGGTCAAAATTATTATTTCTAAACACTTGCTTCATTTAAAAAAAAATATTTAGTTTTTTAATAGAGCACTTTCTCAAAAGGATGCAAATGTTTTCAATTTCATTCTTTTTTTAAAACATTTTCTATAATTTCATAACAAAATTTTTTGTTCATCCAGGTATTGCTCAAGTAGCAGAAGCTACGATATCAATAAAACGTCTTCAGAACTTCATGTTGTACGAAGATACTAGTAAACCAGTACCGGGGCTGGCCGAGATACAAACCTCCATTAAAAAAATACAAGAGCCAAACGTCGAACTTGTGACGGATAGGAAGCCTCTAAATATCACAAAAGATGAATCTAAACAACCTGAAATCGCAGATTCCGTTGAAACAAATAACCTTAACGAAGCTAAAGGAAATGGTAAGGATCTTATTTTATACTGTGTTTTATACCGAGGTTTTCCCAAGAGACTACAGCATGGGGTTTTTCAAAAGGAGGGTAAAGAGGTTTCTTCAGGGTCGGCATCGTGCCCGTAATACCCCTGGTATTGCAGGCGTTTATAGGCTACGGTAACCGCCTGCCATCAGGTGGGCCGTATGCTTGTTTGCCACTTCAGTGGTATAAAAAACTGTTTCAATTTATTTAATAATTCAATTATTCATTAAATATTTAATATTATTATTCAATTAATGAAGTTGTTTTTAATTTGCCAAATATGTTATTGCTAAATATTAAAAATTATCAAACTGCTAACGTGTCTACCATAATGTAAACATAGAATCAACATATTGTTTTAAATAATAAAAAAAATACACAGATAGTGACAAGGAAGTGTACAATTTGTCTAATGGTAAATGGTTACCATAGCAGCAAACATGTCTGCAATTAGTAATTATTTATGCAGAGATAAATCACAACTTTCGAAACTAAACTTTTTAGAATCAGAATGAGCGGTCCGCAAGTTTAGTTTTCACGAAAGAAATTACATTCTTACGGTTATTTAAAAACTAATATTTTTTCTTATTAGGCAATGTAAATTTGGCGCCCCTCGAGTCCGGCGAGGAGGACGACCAGGAGTTGTCAGCGCGCGTGGACCAAGACGCGCGGGGTGTCAGACTGAAACATGCGACCGCCAAGTGGATCGCCTCGCATCCAGAGAACACACTCACCGACCTCTCACTCACCATCAAACCTGGCAAGTGAGTCTATATACCTAATTTAGTTTATTTTTTTATTAGATAATGTTTGTATTAGATAAAACATTGTTTTTTCTTGTCAGTTAAATTATTATATTTAGTTGTATTACTTACTTAGATATGGTAAACTCAAAATAAGGCTAGTTACATAAATGCATTTACACAGATTCCATGTTGTACGCTACGGAACGACAGAGATAGAATGATGAATTTCCATAGTAACACAAGTGAGACAACTACTCTCGCAGGAAACCCTAAAATTAATAATTTATTTACACATTATTGTACTCAAATCAAGGAGTAAACCACAGATAGTATTCAAAATTTGTAAAAAATTGTGATTATGTATGTATATTTATTTGTATTTCTCAATTTTAATTTATTGTCAAACAGACTAATAGCAGTAATAGGACCAGTGGGCGCAGGAAAATCGTCTCTGCTCCACGTTCTACTACGCGAATTGCCTTTAATATCGGGCAGTTTACACATCGGTGGTACTGTATCTTATGCAAGCCAAGAACCGTGGCTTTTTGCAGGTAATTGAAATGTTATTATTAATTTTCTTTATATTTGTTCTAAATGAGAACAATTCTGGATTCGCAGATACCTATGTATAACCTCTTAAAAATGTTATTTTGAGACAATTAATGTCATTTTAAGCTGAAGTGGCAATGGGCTGGTTACATAGCTCGAAGAACTGACAACCAATGGGGAAGAAAGGTTCTCGAGTGGCGACCATATATGGGTAACACGTAGTGTTGGACAACCCCCCACTAGATGGAGTGACGACCTGAAATGAGTTGCAGGGAATCAGTGGATGCAGGTGGCTCAGGACTGTTCTTTATGGCAGTCTATGGTGGAGGCTTATGTCCAGCAGTGGACGGATAATGTCTGAAATGATGAATGATGATGAATGTAATTTTGAATATAACGACTTTGTGAAAATATATAGTGGTGAATTAGTATATTGTTACGCATATATTGCGTTTGGGCAGGCAGCGTGCGACAGAACATCCTGTTCGGGCAAGCGATGGACCGGCCGCGCTACAACATGGTGGTGCGGCGGTGCGCGCTCGACCGCGACTTCTCACTGCTGCCGCACGGAGATAAGACCGTCGTCGGCGAGCGCGGCGTCAGTCTCAGTGGAGGTTCGCTAATATTCATATACAGATTACGTTCACGGCTATAATCCAAAGTGGAATAATCAAAGGTCTTATGGCGATATTTCCCGTTTTCACGAACATACCGCTATATAGATCACATTTTGTCTAGTATTTTGGAAATTAACGCATCGATTTTACAATAACTGAAACCTTTTTTTTAATGAGAGTAGGTGACCACATACGCCTGATATTATCTGTAGTCTATAAATAGGTATCTGTGGAAATATGTTTATAAAAAATGACAATGTTTTTACTAAACTTTTAGTCATTATGTGACTAACAGACTGTATATATGTACCTACTCGTAATTGAATGATTTATTTTTACTCAAATAATTAGTGGCTGTTTTTTTGTTGATGATAATGGAATGGTAACTCTGCCTGCGTTAACGATATACGCTGACGGGGCACCAGTGAAGAGCGACAAGAGAAGATGACAAGGCAAGTTAGTAAGCTCATCGTGATAAATATACCTGGAATGCTGCATGGTTTTCAGGAACCACCACATGAAGGTTGACCTTACAGGGTATATTGCTACTAATAGGATTGGTAGAGGGAAAGGGATTGTTAGTAATGGAGACTGAGAATCCCATTGCTAGCAATATACCCAACCAGGTCGACCTCCTCGCGGTTCTCCCTGGAAACTATCATGGTTAATTCCTGATGAATTCATCATGATGGGCTAACTGGCCTGTTTTCATTCTCATCAATCACCCTTCACTGGTGCTCCGCCAGCATATCCCGTTAGCGCAGGCGGGGTTACCATTTTCATCCCTCAAAAAAAAAAAAAAACTAGGATTGGTAATCCGCATTACTAACAATCCCTTCCCCTCAACCAGTGCCATTCCCAGATGCCTAATGCCTCCAAGCATTCATAAGGATGTTGGTAGAAAGGGACTATCAGTGAATGGGAACTAGTAGCCATACTGCTAACGATATAAGGTATATTCAGTCAAGTCGACTTCCACGCCGTCCCCTCTAAAAATTATGATGGTTCATTCTTGGTGAACTGGTCATGGTGGGCGAACTGGCCTACTTTCACTCCACTGTCATCTATTAGCCTCACCAGTGTATATCGATATCGCAGTCGAACTATCATTCCATTATCAACCGTCAAAGAATGAATACTGGTTGAATACAGGGCAGCGCGCGCGCATTTCGCTGGCGCGTGCCGTGTACAAGCGTGCGGACGTGTACCTGCTGGACGACCCGCTGTCGGCGGTGGACGCGCACGTGGGCCGTCATCTGTTCGAGTCATGCGTCGTAGGCTACCTGCGGAACACAACGCGTGTCCTCGTCACGCATCAGCTGCAGTTCCTCCGCGACGTGGACCAGGTGTGAATTTTACGTCACATGTCATCAGGGACATTGGCTACGTGCACCAAACTCAGTATCTCAGAATCTACTTTGAATATTTATATTATTGCGTACATATTATCTAATAATAATGGTATATTATACGTACCATATAAGTTCATTCATTGCAAATTTTCAACCGACTTCAAAGAGAAGGAGATTCTCAATTCGTTTGTATTTTTTTTATGTTTGTTACCTCATAACTTCGTCAGTTGTAAATCGAAATGTAATTGTTTTTTATCTGAACTGGCATATTCACAGCAATCTGTAAATGTTTTCTGTGTTCCATAGAAAATTTATCGAAATTAGTTTAGTAATTTTTAAATCGCAATAACTGGTTGTCACAAATGATTTAATTTTTGTGGTACGCAATCTTAAATATTGTCGATTTTTTTTATATAATTTTAATTTGTTAGTTAGTTATCACTTATTAGTTGGAAATATCTGTCTAACGCCGTATCAAAATATCCTCTAACAATATTGAAAGTTCAATTGTTTTGTAAAATTCTTTCATATTATATGAAGTTATGCATGGTAAATACATAGTTATAAATTTTTTACTTGTTTTTGTAGAACTGTTAATGAAACTAACCAAATATTTATACATACTTATGAATCGGAAAATACTTTCCCATCATCCATGACAGATAATAATATTGAAAAATGGCGCAATAGCTGCGGCGGGCGACTTCGACACACTGAGCGCATCCGGGCTGGACTTCGCGTCGTTGCTGGCGCGGCCCGAGGAGGAGGAGGAGAAGCCGCCTGAACAGGCGCCCTCCGACACCGACGACGCGGCCTTACACGGCAGCTTCCGCAAGAGGCAGATGAGCATACACTCGGTACATAGTCATAATTAATATTTTTATTATTATCATCTTTATGTTGTGATAGTGGGCCCTCTGACTACTTTGGCAATTATCTGAGTTTAAATTTTTTTCAAGTATCCGTATAGGACAAAATTTGAAATTATAATAAGTAGCGAAAAACAGTAAAAGCCAAACATTTTTGAAACTTTAATAAAATTGTTCTCGCTTGGACTCTAACTTGTTCGATTTTTAAAAAACCTTGTTTCAGTCATAAGTTAATATCATGTGAAGCAAAGTCTCACGGCTACTTCTCATTACCCTTTATTTCACTAAAATAAATATAATTATACATAAATATTTTAAATAAATTTAATTATTTACAATCTCGTAGATATGTATCACAACAGTAATAAGTATAGTACAATGTCACTAAAGGGAATAGGGATCTATAATATAAAAAGTAACCAGGTGAGGGGCCGCCTGAAAATGATCACTATATAGGTTTATCTCGCTGAAGGTGTGCATATATAGCAACAGCTAAGGTGACTCTTATAACTAGCAAAAATAATTTATTTTTTTCTTTTTATTGGGGTGTTCTTGTTTAGAAATCTGTCCGATTCTAGAATAAAGCATACGGGTATGCGACCCTGGCCTCTCGAGCCGCTGCAGTGTCCCAGTCCTTTCCGCAACTGCAGTGTCCTCCCCCCCCCCTTTCCTTTCCCACATAAGTCCCCTATTTCTCTCATTCACCAATTTCCTTTACACATTTCCAACGTCCTTTTTTCCTCAATCCTTTCCACCATACCGTAGAGGGCTGAAACCACCAACAAATGCATTCCCAAAGAGGGTTGACGTCAGGCAGGTGGGCGGTTGTAAAACTAAAAACCAAATCTTTTTGTAATATGGATAAAATCATATTACGCCGACCCCAAATAATTGTGATAAGGGTAGGAAGATGATGATTGTTGTTTATATTATACTTGTAATTGTGGTTATAATTGTTGCTGGTAATAAAAATCTATCTATCCATCTATCTATAATGTATGGGCGGGCGTGCGTAGGTGAGCTCCGTGGACAACCTGACGAGCACGGCGCCACCTGAAGGCGGACGCGAGGAGGCGGAGGCGCGGTCGGCGGGCGCGGTGTCGGGCGCCGTGTACGCGGCCTACCTGCGTGCCAGCGGACACCCGCTGCTCGTCGTGCTCATGGCCTGCGTGGCCACGCTCGCGCAGCTGCTCGGCTCCGCCTCCGACTGGTGGACCAGCTTCTGGTGAGTAGTCAGCTTCTGCTCGATAAATACTTACAGTATCTATGTATTAGCCTGATATATAATATCAATATGAAAAACCCGATAGAATCTAATATAGATATCGGACTGGCACGATATCAAAACATGTATTAAATAAAATACTATATAATAATATAATCAGTGTGTATAATAAAGTATTATATAAATAAAATAATGTATTTATTTATACTTTATCGTACACACTGATTATACATAAAAATATGGCAGAGGTAAGTAAATGTACAAAGGCGAGCTTAACTCTAAAAGAGTTCTCTTCCAGCAAACCCAAAGTGGAAGGAGCATCAATGTCATTTGGTAAAACGGTGTACAATAATGTAATCATTTTCAAACAAAAAAAGAATTAGACTTAATGCTAGTTCTTTTGTTTGTTGTGTTCACACATAGCTAATTATATCATGTTTAATCGTATACATGTATACTTCAACAAATTCTGTAATATGAGTGCAATAAAATTTTAAATAAATAAATTAAATGTTTATCTATGGAGCGACAGGGTAACAAAATGTTATCGCACTATGTCATGATGTCATTATGAAAAGTGATTTTAATGCGTGATGATGGTAAAGTTAATTTGGATATATCTTTGCAGGGTAAACTTGGAAGAGATTCATCCATACGAGACAATGCGATCCTTAAATAGTAGTAACTCATCGCAGCCTGAAGACGTCGCGAACAGCTACGAAAATGCGCTCATATCAGACGTTGTGTACGACACCGTTGGTATAACGAGATACGAATGCATTTATATTTATACCGGTAAGTAAGCGGACAGTATATTTTTTTTTATATTTAAATATAAGGGTTTTTACACAATGAATTTGTTCATAATAACAATTTTGAAAGTACCATTTGATCTTATAGTTGTAAATAATATTGTGTATTTGAAAAATCTGTAAAAGAAAGTCGTATAGGTTCCAGCATAGAATAGGCCACCCTTTCCTTTCCCGAGGGTGTCATAAGAGTCTCTAAAGGAACTTAGTGGTTGAGGGATTGGCAGCGGCGTCTCTCTTGAAACGTCACCAAAGCCAAACTGCGGTTACTAATCTGCCTGCCAAGCATAGTAACTAGTTGTAAGTCCCAAAAGGGAGGCCTATATATATATATATATATATATATATATATATATATATATATATATATATATATATATATATATATATATATATATATATATATATATATTGTCGATATAAAAAATAGGTAGATGTACCTACCTTAACAGTATTTATATATTAATCATTAAAAGGGCATTCAAAAAAGAAATATATCTGATATCATAGGTATAAGTTTTTCTTTAAATTTTAATGATCACTTGTTTCAAGAATAATCCAGATTTGCAGCGAAACATATAAATGTTGATTTCAATATTTGATTAGCTTTAAATTAATAATATGAGTAAAATTACCTGGCAGGCATGGTGGTTGCTCTAGTGGTGGTATCACTACTGCGCTCATTCATGTTCTTCTCGATGGCGATGCGCGCGTCCACGCGGCTCCACAACAACATGTTCGGGGCCATCACGCGCGCACCGATGCGTTTCTTCCACGTGAACCCCTCCGGCCGCATCTTGAACAGGTTCTCCAAGGACATGGGGGCTGTGGATGAGGTGCTTCCGTCTGCGCTCCTCGATGTGTTACAGGTTCGAATCAGAATTGATTCTCGTATTTCTGCTGGTTCGCGTGGCTGTATTTCAGTTTGAGAGGTGAAATATGGTAGTGAAATTACAGGGTATGGAGTCATGATACCTTAGATCACCAGAAACATATAAGGGGTGCCATGGGTGTCACAGTTACTCTATAATATACTGCATTTGATCGAAATACTAATAAAAAATAGGGACTGACTACAATCCCTACTTATTATTGGTATCTAACTAATCTATAAAACTATGAAACTTATGAACTTGAAATTTAGCTAATTTGAATTTTAAGACTTAGCAAGCTTACATTTCTAAAAAAGTCAACTAAATCTTTTTATATATTTTTTAAAATTGTTCATTAATGCATCATGATTTTAAAAAGATTTTAATACACTAATTATTTGTCCTCTACATGAATCCTGTTAGGATGTTGTAAATTACATATATACCCATTAATCGTACAAGTATGTAGTAAATTATGTAATAATAAAGTATATAGTGGTGATAAAATTTGATTCTGTAAAATATAAATTAAATTTCTTATCAAAAACTACATAAAACTAGCTTTCAATTAAAATCCACTTTTCGTTTCTTCTTTACAACAAAGAATTCTTTTCTCCTCACAGATCGGTCTCTCATTGATCGGTATCGTGGTGGTAGTGGCCGTGGTGAACTACTACTTGTTGATACCGACCGTCGCCATCGGGGTCGTATTCTATGGGCTGCGCATTATCTATCTGGCCTCCTCACGCAGCATCAAGCGCCTCGAGGGTGTGAGTGAGTCATCTCTGAGGCGATATGCCGCTTTTTTTTTAGCAAACACTGCCCTATTAAAACATTTTGGGATGATTTTGCAGCATGGGAACACTTATTTACTATTTGGCAATTTACTAATTGCAAATTGATATAAAAATATGAAAATGATATTTAATAGTTATTGAATGACCAAAATGGGATATTTTGGTTTTAAATTTTTTCAATCACTCAATTATTAAGTATTAATATTAAATAAAAAGTATTGGAATATGATTTTCATATTTTAATCTGTTTCTACATTTATTTATTGAATGAATTATTTATCCAAATATTAAAATATTATTTAAGACTTTTTTGCGGGTCATTTACACCCTCTATATTGCTTTTGTATTTTCATGCAAATATTTCTAGAATTGCTTCATATTAGGCAATGGCAAACGTCACAGAATGATATCCTTTGCATGCTTTAGTATTTTGTCTCAATATACATATGTCTATAACACGACCAAGATAATTTATAGCCATTCATAAGTCTGTTCTTAACGATACAGATTGTATGTTACTTACCTATTATGTGGTATTGAAAATTTTTTATAGGTGTTACAATTTTAAAATGTACTGTTTCAACCAAAAATATATATATTAATTCGTATATTTACACCGACAGCTCGCAGCCCTGTGTTCTCGCATCTTAACGCTTCTCTGCAAGGGATCACGACTATCCGTGCATTTGGTGCTCAAGAAGCACTTATCAGAGAGTTTGACAACCACCAAGATTTACACAGTTCTGCTTGGTGAGTAATTCCTATTTGTTAACATGTTTTTAGCAATTTAATTCGGTTTTTCAATTAATGACTTCAGCCACTTACATATGAATAGATAGAATGAATTATCCCACCTAGTTAGGGTCACTTTAAGTCGCTGTTTTTTATAAGAAAGAGGTTAGTAGATTATTAGAAATCGACACAATGAATTCAAATTCTTTGTGTAATAATATTGTGTTCCACAAAAAAAAATCAATTCTGGTAAAACCAATTATTTGATTTGAAAACTATACTATTGAAATAGTATTGATGAAAATTGTTTAAGAGCAATTTCTGATAAATAAGAGTTTTCCAAATCAATTTATAACTGATGGAGTTATTAAACATAAAAAATACAACCAAATTAAAAACCTCCTTATTTAAGAAGCTGGTTGAAAACAGATACAGTATCCTGAAATATATTTTATTTATTTCATAATAATAATTCAGTGAGAATAATTTTGAATTCTGTCACAATTTTTTTTATTTCAGGTATTTATTTATTGCAAGTTCCCGTGCGTTTGGCTTCTGGCTGGACTTAGTGTGCGTAGCGTATATAGCTATGGTTACACTCAGTTTTCTTGTATTTGGACAAAGTAAGTATTCATTTCATTATTAAGAAATATTTGCTACATATTTTTGTTCATTATCTTTATGAAATTGTTCTACGAGATATGTCTGGATGCATCAAGAGTTATAAATCTTTGAATGACTCTGATAAATGTTTTTTTATGATATCAAAATTAATGAATTAGTTATTCAATGTTTGGGTTTATACAAAAACTAATCGTTACTATATATGTGTAATGCATTGTTAATTATCAGATGAATATGGCGGTAATGTGGGGCTTGCTATAACTCAAGCGATGGGTCTCACTGGAATGTTCCAGTGGGGCATGCGTCAGTCCACTGAGCTCGAGAACCAGATGACTAGTGTGGAAAGGTAAGATTCGTGTACGTTATTTCCAGAATAGCAAATTCCAAAAAAACGGAAATAGTCTTTTTTGTATATGAGTATTCTTCTGTGACAGAATACAGGAGTATTCGAACATTGAGTCGGAGCCGCCGCTGCAGTCGCAGGGCGAGAACAAGCCGCCGCCGTCGTGGCCGGAGGAGGGCCGGCTGGAGTTCCGGCACATGTTCCTGTACTACGCGCCCGGCGAGCCGCCTGTCCTGCGCGACCTCTCCCTCCAAATACTGCCCAAGGAGAAGGTGGGCATCGTCGGACGCACCGGCGCCGGCAAATCCTCCCTCATCAATGCACTCTTCAGGTGACTCGCTATGGACTTATTATCATTATTTCTTTACTTTAAATACTTTTCATGCACCTGGGAATGGGTAACAAGGTGACTGTCTAGCTGATGGATAAAAATAATTACCGCCTATATACATGAGCATTACCATAAACATACATGGACATAACAGATTAGTATATGGCATATGATGGTACATTGTCTCTTTTTGTGTTCTCTTTTATTATTAAGGGCTTGGTGTAGGGATTTAACAAACTGCTTCACTTTTCACTGGTTGCAATTTGATCCCTGCACAATACGATTTAGTTGTTTTCTATATGTAATATATTATTTATTTTTTATTAAATGCCAAACTTAAAATAGAAATATTTCTATAAGATAGATAGTATACGTATTTTTTTAATGGGTGATAATGGAATGGAAACCCCGTCCACGCTATCGGTATACGCTGGCGGGGCACCAGTGAGAAATGATAGATGCGGATGAAGCAGGTCAGTTAGCCCATCGTGACGAAATCAACAAAAATTGTTCACGATGGTTTCCAGGGGGAACCACATGGAGGTCGATCTAATAGGGTATATTGCTGGCAATGGGGCTGTCAAATTCCATTGCCAACTATCCCTTTCCCCCTATGTATACGTATTGTGTCAGATATTATTGTATTGTTTAGCCTTTAAATATATCTAAACTTGTTCCGTTTATATTCAGATTAGCAACAATCGAGGGCGAGATCCTGATTGACGGGCGGGAGACGTCAACGATGGGCCTGCACGAGCTGCGCAGCCAGGTGTCGATCATCCCGCAGGAGCCGGTGTTGTTCTCGGGCACCATGCGACACAACCTCGACCCGTTCGACGAATACCCCGATCAGGTGCTTTGGAGGGCACTTGAAGAGGTAAATAAATAATATTTATTATAGTCTAATATATTATTATAGAGTTTGTATATAAAAACAATAATTAAATAAAAAATTAAAAGATAGTGATTATTTACAACGTTATTAGTAATTGTCATTAAAGCATGATCTGCAGTTCTATTATTTGTAATAGCAAAGACATCGTTAGCATTTAGCTCAAAGTATATTTGCTATATTTAATCCTTTAAATCTTAGTACTTATATATTACATAAAGTACACTCGTGCGTGCTATCGTCTCTGACTAAATCCTCATCAGTTTAGAAATTTAAGTTTATTTATTATTACCTCTTGATGTCTTCATGGTGTAACAAATCATTCTGAAATTTAGTATATTTTTATTTAATCACGTGGACGAAGTCGCGGACACTAGTAGAACATATATATCTGAATTTCATAATACGGAAACGGGAGGACACGAGTGAATATATATATTATACTGCCTACAAAAATATCGTCGGGAAACAATGAAAATTGTGAATTCTTCGCGGGCTTTCTTCTCCGTAGTCCCTAAGTGTGCGGTGTGTGGCAGGTGGAGCTGAAGGAGGCGGTGCGCGAGCTGCCGGCGGGGCTGAACTCGCGCATGTCGGAGGGCGGCGGCAACTTCTCCGTCGGCCAGCGGCAGCTCGTCTGCCTCGCGCGCGCCATCGTGCGCCGCAACAAGCTGCTCGTGCTCGACGAGGCCACCGCCAACGTTGACCCGCAGTACGTATTACGTCCTCTTTATGATTTATCTGATATTTATTACATTAAAAAAAAACTATAACGTAAATTTATTTCTTACCTATAATCACTCTAATATATCTAATATTGGGTAATATTACAGAACGCGCTCAATTAATACTGTGGCCACACCCTCCTATTTATACATTTTCTCCTTCTACAAGCGCTCTCTGTCTCGTGCCTACGAGCACTCGTATTTCCGCGCACATTTCCAATCCTATGACTTCAATTTTAGACTTGACATTTTATTCTTGAGTCACAACTAACACTTTAAGTTTGCTCGGAGCACAAATTTAAATTTTGCAGTATTTTATCTGATCACCAATTTCAATTCTACCTAGATAATGATTTAGATTATATTAACGTTACAGTGGTTATTTAACCATCATATATTATTTTTACAGAACGGATGCATTAATACAAAAGACAATAAGGAACAAATTCGCAGAATGCACAGTACTTACAATTGCTCATCGTTTACATACTGTTATGGACTCTGATAAGGTAAATCTTACGTTAATTTTGTTTCAATAATATATAGGAAATTCTTTAGTTTACTAACACACTCGCTAATAGTTTAGTAGCAATTAAATATGAGTCTTATACACACAATTGTATTGATTTTAGTGCGAAATTTTATTCATTTTTATGAATATCATCACTCTTTCATTACATGCTGTGTAGTTGACAAACAAAAAATAGGTACAAATGGAAATTTACTTATTTATGGTTTGTAGATATAGAATATAAGTGTTTTTGAATAAAAAATTGGCAGATTGACAATCGCGAGCGAAGACGCAAAAAGAATCAAATTGCAACCAAGAAAGAAATAATCTGATGACATCAAGAACTTTAATATATACAAAAAGAAAACGCGTCAGTGTACGCACAAATTGAACAACAACGCGACACTATAGAAAAATATATTCTAATTTATATTTATGTATATTGATTTATTTATTCATAATTAAATATATGATCTTTAGGTGCTGGTGATGGACGCCGGTCAAATGGTGGAGTTCGACCATCCTCACATACTGCTGCAACGCCCCGGCGGCGTGCTACGCGGGATGGTCGACCAGACAGGCCGTTCTATGGCCGATACGCTCGCAAGGATAGCGCAACAGGTAACATAACTCGAATCTATTGTTGTACATAGTAATAAATCGATATATTGATAGATTGAATATATTTGCCAGAACATTGTTTTTACAGATATTGATTTATTGTGAAGTAAAAATATATAAATCGATAACTCAATTAATAGTAATATTAGGCGAATATCAGTAATCACACAACAGATATTAGCCTAATATTGTCTCACTGATTGCTGAAGTGGTGTTAGTTGACAGTAGATATTGGATTTTTATTCTGCATTAATTGACCACCTGCGCTGTATGTACCTATTACTTTAAAATTTATTGTTCATTTTATGTAGCTGCGACGTCATTATGCATTTTGTTACATCTTGTTTTCATTTGTAAAAACTTTTTATTTGGCTCTCGGTCTTTATCATTGTTTCTATAGTGAAACTGTTGCCTATTGGTTTTCCTTCACAAAAAAATCATCTTTTGTACTGCTCATCGTTTACTGTAGTGGTGGTATTGTATTTTGTTCCTATAGTTGCCTTTTACACCTTCTAAAGCGATGAAATATACTGTTAACACCGTCCTTCAGCCATCACATAGTTTATTTTAATACTAATACATTTTTTTTTTATTACAGACTTATGAGCAGAAACAAACACCAGCAGCAGAGAGTTCTAAATGATCTTATAGATGTAGGTTATCAAAATATACACGTTCCTATGTTTGATAATAGTATAATTGAATGAATTTATATTCTGAACTGGCGGTGGTAACTTACACGCCGCTCAATAAGCAAAGCTTATTAATTACACATATATAAGTTACCCACAGTCTGTCCAGGGTGGACACCTTTAGGAATTAGCTTGTTTACTTATATTTTACTGCATGGTAATGCACAAAAAAGATAGAAATAGACAAGGCAAATACTTCAATTTATACGCGAACTATATCACTACTAATTTACGTAATATAAAAGTTATTTATTGATAGCGAACCTTCTCTCGCACTAAGAAAATACTATCTGTACTCTTGCTCAAATCTGTATAATTGGTTAAATTCAAGCTCCATTGAGCTTATTTTAGGGTCAAAAATTAACACAAAGTACATACAGTCACAACGTTTATTTTAGTGTACCTCTGTAAAATATACTATACTGTATCTAACATAACAAATAATCGGAGATATAGTTTTCGAAAAATTTCACTTAGAAATATAAGTCGCAATATCACTACATTTCTCATTATGTATTTCTCTTTATAATTTTTTCCAAATGGTCACATGTTCAATTTAATAAATGAAAGTCTCAGAGATTATCTTCATATTTTGAATTATTGTGCTTGAGCATATAATTCACATTAGTGTGGATCTAGCCTTACAGGTATATATTTTTTAAAATCATAAATGATTCATGCCATTTGGTGCCATTACAGCCACTGACAAACTTCATCACTCCTGGTCGGACTGTATTCAATAAATTTAATTACGTCACAATTTTGAGCTTGTACTAGTTACTATAAAACGAATTACTTTTAAGAATAGGTTTTAATTGTAACTTAATAGAGATGGGACAAATGACAAGTGAGATTTTTATATATTTTTTAATCGTACTTCAAATTTTATGAATAGATTACATCGGAACTCGAATACCAAATAAAATCTCTTTGCGCATTATGAATGCAAATGTGTGTATATGATCCAATGAAATGATACCGGTGCTTAATATTTTATTTCTGTACTTTATTATACGCGTTTAGTTGTACTTACGTAGTTATATAGTTTTACAAATCATGATTGCCTGTAAAATCATTGTGTACTTATTATTCTAAATCGTATATGTGAATTATACGTTACTTAAATCCATTGTACGTAATTATGATTTAATTGTTGATAAATACATTTTATTCAGTGATTATAATTAATTTAATAATTTTAATGTGATAATGATGTTTTGAACATACAGTGCCTGTTTATAATGTATCACTAAGAAACTTGTTATTATTATTACAACAAAATGCAGTGAAATATGTCAAACATACTCTTTCGTTTTATTTAATATTCTTTTAACCTTTTATCTGGTGAAACTAAGGAACACTATCTAGGGCCCCTCATGCTTATTTCTTCAAATTTACTATTATTATTTCAGCCCTTAACTGTCCACTGCTAAACAAAAGCCTTCCCCATAAGGGGAGTTTTGTCAGTAGTTGCCACGCTTGACAGGCAGGTAGGCAACCGCAGTTAGGTTTTTAGACCTGTTTTTAGAGAGAAGCTGCTGTCCATCCCTCGCTCTCCCTTAGTTGCCTCTTACGACACTCACGGGAAAGGAAGAGGTGGCCTATTCTATGCTGGGACCACACGGCGATAATTATGCTAATAGTTTGTAAAATTGCAATTAAATCTGTTCAGCTATAAAAGCATGACTGAGTAACAAACATCTTTACAAACTCTCACAAATTTGTAATAATAATTTTATTGTATACAAATTGTAATTTGGCAAAAAATATTCTTAGATGATACCCGTGTGTAAACAAGGTTTTAAAAAGAAACAGACGTAATTTCCATTTTTATTCAATTTGGTTCATAATTATTTTTACAATAAACTTAATTTTATAAAAAAAAAAAAAACACATAACGGAATGTAAAAAGTGATAACACTACAAAACATTATATTAACCATCTTAGGTTCTTAGTATTATCTAATCACCATTTAATCAAAATACTTTTCTTTATTCTTAATATTTACATCCAATACTGTATAAATTGATAAATGTAGTAAGTAGACTAAACAAGAGTCAGCGCACACCGATAGAGTAGCGCGATGAAGGGACGAATTAAGTCACCATTGTCATACGGAAATAGACTTTAGTTGTTTCAACATACAGTTAAAAATTGGTATAAAATAAATGATGACCCTCGCGTCAGTTAGTAGCTCAGTATCTCGAGTACAATAGCTCTTCGCTACCATTCTGTCGGTGTGAATTGACCTTAAAATACTGTAATTTTGATTTACTCATTTATAGATATTAGACTCCTATTATATGCTGACACAAAAAGTTGTGGTGACAGCATTAATATAACTTGACGAGTAGTAAACTAGCGTAAAATTATTTCAGTCGTAGAACATAATGAAAAATATTAATATTAACGTATAAAAAGAAATTTTACAATTATTGAATTTTCCAATAATCCCTTTTATAGACTAATGAGGAAGGACCTCTTTCAATACACTACTATTTATTTCCATCCATAATTATCACAGACCCTTGAAACATAATATGTTTCATTCCTAATCCTTAACAGACCAATATCTAGAATAGCATTAAATATAACGAAATACTAAGATAAATAGATTAAGTAATAAATACAATTGCGTAATACATGAAACAGCTGTTCAAAGTAAGAATAAATAGTTCCTTTTACAAAAGGAATTTTGCTTAAGTTTCTAATTTTATTCGAACTTTTTAAGCGTTTATACACAATACATATACGCATTGTAAATAACTTAAACTTAGTACACAACGTTCCATAGATGTAAAATAAATGAACATTACTACGAGAATCATATGAAAATAATACTAAAAAAAGATGTTGATACTACTAATCGAAGCTGAAACGTCGTGCAAAATATCAAGAAGATAAATAATAATAATAAATACTGAACAACCATCAGACGTATCTTAGAAATACAATGTCATGATATAATTCTTACTTTCCTTTGGCACATGAAATATAAATGGAGAAATGAGAAATGTGCAATGGAAAGTAATACAGAAGACACGTGAGATCTTAAACTCTGTAATTCGAAATTCGTTTTTTCCTATAATTAACTTATATAAGATGATAGTTTTATATATAAGCACTAATTCACAGTCTTGATGCAAGTTAGCAGCACAGTGGTCGTGTCGCGCCTCGCCCTCGAAGTTGCCACGGTGTCAAACACTCGTTAACTATTTATACAAAAGTTACACAGGCTCAGCTGCCTACACTTAAGTCTTAGCTGTGCTAGTCCCAGAGTCCCAAACCGTTTGAGTAGATAGTCTAACTCTCAAACGAGCGCTGTTAGACTACCTGTGTTTTGGACGCTATCTGCTGAGTTTTGAGTTGTATTCGTTTTATTCTGTAAACAATAATAAAAAATATATATATTTCTCTCCCTTTCTGTCGAGACAATAGTAAATTATTTTCGTATTTTTTTTTAAATGGATGATAATAGAATGGTAACCCCACCCGCGCTATCGGTATACACCGGCGGGGCACCAGTGAAGGATGATAGGTGAGGATGAAACAGGTCAGTTAGCCCATCGTAACGAATTCAACAAGAATTGTTCACGATGAATTCATCATGATGGGGAACCACGTGATTTTCATCTAACCCTTACTGGTATATTGCTAGCAATGGGGCTGTCAAACTCCATTGCTAACAATCCATTTTCACCCTTGATTTTCGTAAAACAAAATTATATATAAATACAATATATTTATATAGACAGCTTCATTAAGGTCTTCCTTGGCGTGGAATAAGTAGGATAAAAGGGCAGAAGAAAAGATCAAACATGGTTTGGGATAGTTAGTTATCCACAATCCCTCCGAAAAACGGCACCCAATTTTCATTTCTCATAGTATAAACCTACACAAGAAGAGTGAGTATATGAATAGAAATAGAAAATATATATGACCATGCTATTATAAATAAACACGTAATGCTAATAGATTTAAGAGAGTGACTGTTGAGTTTCTTGTGAGTTCTCAGCAGATAATATTTCGAACCCAGCAGTAGAATTATAAAAAAAAAAAAAATATTTACAATAAGTCTATTTGAATAAAAAATATTTGAATTTAAATATGACTAACAGATTATACAAAGTGAAACACTGAGAACTATTGGCATGACAGTGCATTTCGAAATATACACAGCGCTACTCATACCATTGATCGTCAGTTTGTTTACCCAAAATTTTATAAAAAGTAAACGTGATATTGTAATGTTGTCGAAATAATGTGGCGTGACATATTTATATGTGAGGATGGTAGTTACATCGTGTTGGTAGTGCGAGGGCGGGAGCGGCAGCAGCGGGCGTAGCTCCCGCCAGAAGGCGCGGTCGTGCACGTGGCGCCAGGCCAGCAGCCGCAGCCCGCGCACCACCTCCACCAGCCGCGCGCCGCTCTCCTTCGCCTCGCGCTTCAGCTTCGGCAGGTCCTGCCGCCGAAACAATGCATTAACATTTCGGTACAAAAAAACTATGACGTATACCGTTATAATTATCGATAATCGTAACCAAAATAATAACATAGCGGTGAAAGAATCTGTATAAAAAATCGATAATAATCATGATAAATATAGTATAAGATCAACAAGGAAGTGAAATTTGTTGATTGCAAAAATAATTTGTGCAAAATTGGTGAAGGTAACCTGAATGAACATATAAAAAGACAGCATAATTGAAAATAATAAAATAGTATGAATACAGTTACATAATAATATATTAATAAGGGGTTGGGATCTCAGCTTTCTTTTTTCCAAAGGTTTTTGGGACGGGTTGTATGAGAAAACCGGCAAATTAGCCAAGAATGAAGTATTAATAATAATAATCCTATCCTATCCTGTTTAAAAAATAACTACTTGAATTACTTAACTATATTAAAAAATATGATCGAGCAATGAAAGAATTTTTTTTTTAAGTTTACCTAAAAAAATAAACAGTAAAGAATAATTCTCTGTCTAAATTCAATAGGAAAAATATTATTAACTAGCTGATTGACCTATAAAAACCAATGAAACAGACCAATTCTAGATGGCATATCAAAATAAAACATATTCTAGAATTTAACTTAGAAGACATGTAGGAACATTATTTTGAAAACTACATCCTGGTGAAGTGGTTTTTGCATAATGCCGGATCAAAACAGACAAAAATTCTAAAAAATATTGTTTTAGCTTCTATTTCTCCTATAAAAACTTCTTCCATAAATTTCTTTTCAAATATCGTCCTGTTGCAATTTTATTATATTTGTAAGATAATTGTAGAAAATGTAGTTGTATGTTCACCTGCAGTAGTACGACGACGGGCGAGAGCGGTAGCGCACGCAGCTGTCTCAGCGCTTCCAGCAATTGCTGCGCGGTATACTGCGACGGGGACACTACCGCAAGCAGCGACCGGCACCGCGCCAGCTCCGGCGACATCTCGTTGTACCCTATTCATACAAATCACGTTTATACTTACTCCACATTTGTTATTGAAAATGAGTAATGAAGTAAACTCGTGGTCAATCATTCTAGCTCTGTCACTTTTTTACAGTGGCGCTAGAGGCGGTTTTGTTGTTTTAGGTATATATCCAAGTCGTTCCAATTTTAAAATACAATGATGAATCACATATATCACATATATAACTCAGCTTTTAACAATATTTAAAATGTTTCGCAATTTTTAGTTTGGCAACACTGATTTCACATCATGGTTTTTGTTTTGGTAATCGTTCGATTATAACTATTAGGTGTGTGTGTGTGTGTGTGTGTGTGTTTGTTGCAGATGCATGTTAAAATCTTTTCTTATTGTTTCCGATTTATTCTCTTTACATTTGTTAATGTTACATCGAACGTAAACGATATAGATTCGATAAGTGCTTTACTCACAGTTGTCGGGCATGGTAGACAATTGCAACTCGTGGACGCGGTACTTGTACTTGAGAGTGAGCGTGGGCAGCAGCGCGCCGCGCACCACCTCCTCGTCCACAGGCGTCCAGCACACCACCACGTCGAAATCCTTCTCGAGCACTATAGGACAAAACAAGGGGGCAAATTTATTTATTGTTCACAAATATCGTATTAAAATATAATCAATTTTAATTATAAGACTAAATTACAAGTGAAAGAGTCACTAGTCATTCAATGTACACGTCTAACAGAGCAGTGCGTCCCGAATTGTCATGTAATATTCAGATACGGTGTCGGGTTACTGGCTCTTACTTTGTGGAAATAAAAGTAGGTCAATTTATTCATAGACAAGAATTTATCAAGAATAACCACAATAGTTTCGAGGGAGAATCACGCGAAGGTCGAATTGAGAGGGCATAATGCTAGCAATGAGGCTACTCGTTTTTTTTAATGGACAAATAGATGATAATGGAAATATTATCCCGCTTGCGCTAACTGTATACACTGACGAGACACCAGTTAGGGACGATAAGTGCGAATGAAAAGGCAGGTCAGTTAGGCCATCGTGATAAATAAATACACCTAGAATTCAACACGATGGTTTCCAAGGGGGAGCACCTGGAGGTCGAGCTGACAGGGTATTACATTGGAACTAACAATAGAACTTTTCCAGAGGGAGACTTTGTACAAAAGTCGATTGCTTGGGTACTTCTGTCCCATTCGTGTTTCTACCGTGAAGCAGTTGTGTTTGCATGACTGTGTTTCGGTTTGAAGGGTGGGATATGGCGTGAATTTACTGGGTACAGAGGAATAACACCCGAGTCCTCAGGAATGGCAACGCATGGGCGGTATCATGGGCGAAACGGTATATCTATTATGTTCATGGCACTACTCATGTCTATAGGCGACGGTTACCATTTTCCATCAGGTGGGCCGTCAGCTTGTTTGCCATTCTAAGTTGTATATAAAAAAAAACTGGCAGTCTGCATTACTAGTAATCCCCTCCCTACTAACAATGAGGCTTCTAGTCTCCATTTACTATAACAGAAAAGTTATGGGTAGGTGGTGACCTCTGGCGCGGCGCGCGGGCCCGGCGGTGCGCGCGCGCAGCTGCTGCAGCGCGAGCAGCAGGCGCGGCGTGCAGCGGCGGTGCAGCGCCGCCACCGACAGCAGCGCCAGCGCGCCGCACGCCGCGCACAGCACCAGCGCGCGCCACGGCACCGCGCCGCCGCCGCCGCCGCCGCCGCCGCCCGCCCACGGGACTCGAGCTCTCCGAGCCCGGCGTCGCCTGCACCTGCACGCCCGGCTCCTCTTCGCCTGCGAATAACATCCACTATTACTGGCGCGTACTATTAATTAGAATCGTTAAAACCTTGTGCACACTCGTCTATTTATTTTTTTATACAACTTAGAATGGCAAACACGCTGACGGCCCACCTGATGGAAAGTGGTAACCGTCGCCTATAGATATGAGCAGTGCCATGGACATAACAGAGTATACTGTTTCGCCCATGATACCCCCCATGCGTTGCCATTCCTGAGAACTCGGGTGTTATTCCTCTGTACCCTGTAAATTCACACCATATCCCACCCTTCAAAACGAAACACAGCCATGTAAACACAGCTGCTTCACGGTTGAAACACGAATGGGACAGAGGTAACCAATCAATCGACTTTTGTACAAAGTCTCCCTCTGGTGATAATATAAAATAATATAAGAGTGTGATACCAATATTATGATATGTTCATCAAATGCAAGTCGTTTGACAAAGCGATACAAGGAAATATCATCATCATTATCATATCAGCCTTTAATCGTCCACTGCTGAACATAAGAATCCCTCTCGAGAGTTCTGCCCGTAATTGCCACGCTTGGCAGACGGATTGGCAACCGCAGTCAGACTTAAGAGATGTTTAAAAAGAATGTTGCTGCCCATCCCTCGCAAGAAAGTGAACAAGAAAATATATTTATGAATATATACATTCTACTACAAATAAAAGTATACGCTTAGTATAAAAGTTTATAATTTATAAAGTTCAAATAGACTCGATTATAAGAAGATAAGAAATAAGCATTTAGTACGTACTCTTACAGTTCAGTTGTTGAAAATTTGTGTAAAATTACACGGAGAAATCATATGATGAGTTCTCTCTTTATATATTAAAAAATATAAATTTCAAAATATACTAATATTACCTCTGCGGTGGACGGTGACGTTGCTGGTGACGACGGCGCCGTTGCTGTGCACTACGCACGCATACGCGCCGAAGTCGAGCGGGGTGACGCGCGCCACGTGCATGAACGAGCCGCGAATGTCGGTCACGTCGTCGCTGCAACATACATAGTTGTTCAAAAAAACATAATGAAAAGGTAACCAAATTTGATTGAAATTATCACAGAAACACTTAATAAACTATGAACTCATTAAGTTGAATTACCACGTATAAATGTTCCAATAAATTAATAGATTTTTCATTATTATGAACATTGGACATTAGCAGATTGCCTTATGGTCATATCAATTTGTTTGTTTATATTTACATTACATTCAATTGAATCTTAGCGAAACACTTTACACGTATAACTGAAACACTTGGTGTTTTCTGATCAATATATTACGTAAATACAACAAATGATTACTTATTGTATAATTGTTTATTATTATCGCTTTATGGAAATCTGTATCAACCGATAATTATTATGCAAATGATTATGAACCGATGTAGTATAATTAAAATAATAGCATTATTAATTTACATATATACTATACGTATAGACATATATAGACGGGGTAGGTACGTAATTATTTTAATGAAGTCAACAACAGTTACAAATAGAAATATATTTTTAGTTCATAGTTAGCCATAAATAATATAGGTTCAGCTTATACAATAACTAAATGTTTTCAATGAAAATTTTCCGATTACAAAGACTAACTTTCGTTTAAGATTTAGGTATTTTTTGCATTACTTAATAATGTACACTATTTTTTTTAAAATAAATCTTAAATTAAGCAGCTTTGAACCTTTGACTGCCTTATCTTATTTTTAATTTATTCTCACATTAGTCAAACAACAATTAACGTGTTAAATGCAAACATGTTATTGAATTCTATAAAGAGTTACCGGAATTTTAGCCGGATGCGACTGTTTAGATGCTATTGGTTCTAAAACATATTTAAATAGCAAGAAATACATTATTAAGATATTTATCCTCACCGGTGCGTCCTGGTTTCGTTTTGCGTAGGCAACAAATCACCCTCCGTGCCGTTCGGCCATATTTTTCGCCATCGGAGGTCGCTAAGGGCGTCGGCTAAATACGATTTTCCTAGAAATATGACGCCAAGTATTCATGTATTAGAAATATATTATTCTATGTATATACGTATATTAGCTTCTAAGAAGTAGCCTTATGTCGAACATCATAATATTACATAGTCAAGTTTCTTATTCCGTAAGGAGTGGCAACGTCTATATTTATATTGGTTGTGTTTCGGTTTAAAATTATAGGGTACGAACTTATAACGCAATAGTACTTATAAATGGCAATGTACAAGGAGTACCATGGTTGTCACAATGCATTGTAAGTGTTCATGTCTACAAGCGACGGTTATATTCAACATCAGGTAGACCGTAAGCTTAAATACCATTATAAGTTAAATAAAAAATATGCGTTCAAATTAAAATATACGATTTTACATATTTCCGAATGATCACCAAAGATACCTACTTTGATTTATTGATAATCATTTAATCAGTATAGTAGATAAATCATATTACATTTTACATGTGCTACATTTCTCATACATTGCGACTAATGAAGATAGAAATATTTCACTTCTTGTGTCAAAAATTCGCTTAGGCTTCTTAATTATCGCATGCATTATACAAAATAGATGACAGTCCTGTCCCGAAGAGTTATTCATTAAACATAATAGAGGCGATCTATTTTTTAGAATGCAACATTATTGCAAAGTATTTTGTAACATGTAATAACACTATTGTTGAATAACTTTGAGTTAAGAACTTGTCTGGCATCCCCGACTTTAATTCGGGGATATAGTAACTACACTAGAAACGAAACATGAATAAAGCCGACATTAATATCGCTGTTTTTGTATTTCATAAATAATGTAAAAATAAATAAACATTCAGTTTGCTCACCTACGAGCGCCTCGCAGAACAACCGTAGCTCGTCACCCTCGTCTACCCACTGATCTTTGGAGATGAACATCCTTCGAGGGCGGTCGATAGGTTTATCTATAAAAAATTTATACTTTATCAAATTAATTGGATATCAATACTTTAAACAATATATAACTTAGCACTGGTTAGCTAATAGATTGTTAAATTAAAAGATTCAATGACTAGAAACAGTCTTTGTCATTATATTACGGATCTTTTGTTTATTACGAACTAATTGCGTTATAATGATTGAACGAATACTGCCAACAAATATATGGCAAATAAATAATATTATTATTAAATCTTCAGCCGACTTCAAAAAGAAGGAGGTTCTCAATTCGATTTTTTTTTATGTTTGTTAATTCATAACTATACCGATAAGGACATTTTTTTATTTGAATAGATAAACTTACAAATTGGTTACATAGAAATTTTAACAAAATCGGTTTAATAGTTATTAAATTAAAATGACTAGTTTTGCCGCAATTGAAGTCGGCTTTTTTTTTTAAAACACAATCTTATTTGTAAATTTAATTAAAAAAAAAACAACACTATGTTTAAGTATGGTTTTTACCGATAAAATTGGCCCCACTCTACTTATTACTTACTATTATAGTACTGTTTAACACAAAATGATAAATGTCAACAAAGAAATTTATTATCAGCCAAATATACTTTTGATAATATAAGAAAAAAAAAATAGATTGTGAAATTCGCGCCCTTTATTGTGTCTTGCGTCTTAAGCACGTAAATGCAATTTTACATAGTCACTTACCGAGGATATCAAGAGTGATTGTATGAACATCGCTGTGGGTTTCATTGCTGATCCGACAAGTATAGTTCCCGGAATCTGAACGGGTAGCGCTTCCCGTGTACAGTGTCTGGTTGGCTGCTTCTGGGTACAGGATCAGGTTTGACACTCCGGCAGACCAGGGATACGGCACGCCGTTTTTGAACCTGTGAAAGAGATTCAAAAACCTTTATATAACTGGTAGGTAATATACACCGTATTGCAATATTTGCAATATTACATATATTTTTGTTTATACAAACAAATATAATATTTAAGTATTTGTATCAGTAGTCACGTTAATAGGTGTCTTTTTTAATTAAGGGTATTATTTTCTCGTCGCTATAAAAACCACCGTTTTCATATTCCCATCATATACAAGAACATACAATATTGTGATTCTGACAAAAACAACTGTCAAGATCCGTGTCTATGTGTAGGGAATAATTCGCAGTAACAGCTAATGGAGTGTCACAGCGGCGGTGACGGGGTGGCGTAATGCAGCTGCCGATGACAATTACGTTTCCACGAAATACCAGATTACATTCGCTATTATTGAACGGTCAAATCATGATTCCACAACTCGATCACCGTTTGCCAATCATTTAATACGCCTGCGTACTATACTCGTAGCTAATCTCAACGTAAATCCTCGATTCGATTTAAGCGTGCCAGCTGTGAATCGTTAGCGAATCAGCTCTGCGCAAACAAAACGTCGCGATCCTAACGATTCCAGTGAACAGTAAAAATTTGCGGGAGCCGTTTTTGAATCGTTTGAAAGGAAAACAAACATTTGAGCGATGTTTCATCGCAAGGCCACGATGGGTATGCTTCCTAGAAGTGACGTCTTGCAACATCCATTGGCCGTGCCCGCTTGGGCGTAGGTAATATGAGTGTATGGGAGGTGGTGCTCAGTTGCTCACGCCTGCGATTACGTGGTCTTACTTCTAAAAAGTATCTACAACTGTGTATACACATACTAAATAGTGCTAAAGACATAAGTATTTATTAAACAAAACAATATTAAGTAATGATGTAGATCACGTTTACATTCTCATCAATAAATTCATTACAATGTGGAACATTGTCATTTATGAGACGGTAAACCACAAAGGACTAATTAATTTAGATATATCTTTCACCACATTATAACAATACTAAAATGATGAATTGTTTCTATAAATTGAGATTCATATAAAGCACAGAATGCACCCAATAAAGTTAGAGCATTTTATAACCCTATTCGTGCTCAATGCCCCTGGGAGAACGTCTAATTTTAACATTTTTACAACTGACTCACGCAGCGTACAGTAATTGTGATTTAATTATGAAATTATCATCTTCGGTTGTTTGTGTACACAAAGTGGGTTACACTTTATGTATATAAACCTATCTATTTGAAATCTTAATTTATGATATCGAATAATTGTTAATCTGCCTAAAAGAGGTCGAAGTTCGTTTATGTGTAAGAAATTATTCTCATATTTAGACTCACAGTCCTTGAAGAAAGTGACCCAGTTTCATAAATATCTGTACGTTGGATTTCAAATTAATTTGCTATGTCATACAAATAACATGTTTATACTCTAGCACAAAGATATGGTTGGCTTTTATCGTGCTATATAGGTAAAGAGATGGTTCAAAAATACACGTTTATAATGATACTATATCGCGATTATGTTATTAATAAAACTATGGCTGTTTACTGATACTTAGAAGCATGAAGATAAAGACAATACGATTCTCTTCAGACTCACCTATAATAACTTAAATTAAAAAAATAATTGCAGTAAATTCATGCCATTTCTTATTCGTATAATTAAATTAATTGTGGCAAATGTACTTAATTATTTTAATGATTACCTACAGATAACTATCAGAAACAAGAGCACCGTTGTGTAGCCAAGTTTTAAAGAGAACAAAAGTACATACATCATACAAACGCAGTTGAAGAATGCCGTCGGAACATGACACGTATGCAACTGTGGGCAATTATTGTCATGATGATACACAGGTATTCGTAACAAAACAACCGCCCCTAGGGACCGCTTAATTATCCTGTTTGTCTATAACAAGCGAGCCGTCGAACTGTTCGACAGGAATTTATATAGCCGTTATTAGTTCGCGATACCTCCGCCTTATTGGGCTACAAAAAACCAATTTTACAAAGCATAACTAGGTTTTTCAGTGTGCTTGATTACGTTCGCGATTGTTGTAGCAGTGCAGCGATGAATGAACATGTGTTCATAATTTCGATATTACCATTACCAATACCAAATTGGTGTTATAATGAAAATAACACCATTTGCACTTAAGATCAAAAAGAGGATAATGGTATAAATAATACTTATATTAAATAGACGTGACTATAATATATACAGAAAGATGCATAAGCATTTTTAATATAGTCTAATATAGGTAGAAGTGTTTATAAAAGAACCTTTTAATTAAATAAAACTGTCAAAATTTCAATCCGTCACAGTATTAATAGTACTCGCATAGTTATGATATATAATAAAATTGTAACAAATCGATGGATAATAATATGAAACAGAATTGCTATAAAAGCACATTTATCTACATTAAATAAAAAAAAAACCCTTTAATCTTAGTATTTATACTCATTTTAAGATTAAGAACTTCGAATCAATATGTAATAATAATAATAAGTGACATTAAATATTGTCACATTTATAATTAAATCCTTCGTCTATACGAGATAACAGTGAAGGAAGGTCTGAAACAAAAAACCCGATGAGGTCATCCGCCGTCTCCCCTGTTCGGTCTGCAGCCCTGCGGACTGCGAATATTTCCTAAATAACACGAACCGGTCTTTGACCGCGCACAATTTGCACTCCTGGGAGTTAACCACAAATCGTTACCCTACAACCGATTCCAGTCTCCAAAAACGCATTCCTATACTAAGATAATCAATTAAATACACTTACGACAAATTCTATTTTCGTAATTAAAAAATATTTCCAGAAACGTATATATGTAGATAATTTGTTTAATTAATGATAACTATATACATATATAGATAGATAGATGGATAATTTATTTCCATTACTTCCAGCACACAAACAGTAAAAGACAAATGCAAAGTGAAAAAAGATAAAAAAAAAGATACATGTACAATGTATATATGTATATAGTTATTATTAATTTAGTTTATTATTTTATTTATTAGTACATATATTGTTATTATTTTTTTACGGAAAAATTATAACACAATTGTAACCTTACTTCCTTACTAATATTATAAATGTGAAAAAAGTCGGTTTGCTACCAGTGACTTCACGGCTTTACCAAATTTTGTTAACGATGTATTGTATAATATGGAGAGGGGCATAGGTTACTCGCTCTGCTTTAATCCCCGTGAAAGAACATATTCTGGGCAAGCGGACGAAATCGCAGGTAAAATCTAGTAACATATACATTAAAAAAATTTCTTTTCTTTTTCCTTTATAGCTGTTTCTCAAATTTTAAATAATGAACCATGAAGGCTTCGTGCTGATTGCTTTTGTGGTCGCTTGTAGATATGTAGATTATAGAAATATAAACTACAAAATTATTTTAAAAACAACATAACGCATTACAGTTAAATAATTTCTAAAGATATAGCTGATGGAGTAAAATTTAATTCGACTTGAACAGTTGCTCAAGAAAAATCATAAAAAAAATAGCAACATTTTTACAATAATTGCAATTTTTACTTTTGTACGTTGTTGTAATGGTTACGAAACTCTGCTTTAAGAAAGGCCCTACATGCACTTAATATATGCGTTTCACTGAGCAAGTATTTTTTCATTGTAACGACATAACGATCAGAGAACTTTCTTTGTTCGTCTGTGATCACGAAACATCACTTATGCTGTCAATTTTGACGAATGTTCGTTCTCAGCGAAAACCAATTATTTACGAGAGCTAGCATCAATTTCGCGGTAGCCGTTTGTACAATTCCTGTGTTTGATGACTGTCATTTTAAAACAAGGGTTGTCAATGTTTATTCTAATATTTTATTTGAAATACTAAAATACCACTGCATAGAAACAGAACCATAAATATGCGTTCAGTTTAATTACTACCATTATCTATATAATTACTATCCATGATACTCGTATTTTAGCGACATTTTATTCATAACAGTTGTAAATTTTTTACTGTTTGTTTTAATATACATTAAACATCTCTTTTACAGCTAAAATAAAACCATCCTCGCGAAGTTATCAGAATCTTGAAGAAAATCTTACTCAATAAAATTCATTAAGCCTTAGGTAAACAGAGAAACGGATGCGGTGGCCGATAGTACAATTTTAATAAGTTACACACATATTATTATTCACATTTTAATAGTTACATGAGAGACATTTTCTTTAATTTTAATCAGTATTTAACCATACCTAAAATAGAAAATGCCATAAAAGTGAACAATTTCAACTAATATATTTTGAATTTATAATGTACGATGTCTATTGATAGATTAATTTAATGGCTAATAATGGTAGTTTGTAAAATATGAATCGTAATGTAATGTTGTTATGCATGTATTTAATGATACATAAAAAAAGGATGGACCGATAGACACAGCGTGTAAATTGAAATACCTACGTACTCTGTACAGAAAATTTGGAAAATCCGTAAGCGTCATGTCATGATGTCACCAAGTTTTAATTTAAACCTTGTACGCTACGCTAGAATGATAAGTCGTAATTATAATTGTTGTTCTTTAGTCCGACTTTTTGCAATATGTAAACAATTACGTCAATATGTAAAGTTCACTTGGTTTGACAAACTGAATATTTAAAAGCTTTAAAGTTTTTATTACCTTATCACATTTAAGCTTATCAACATTATATAAATAACATTATCAGTATATTATAATACGTTGTACTGGTAAAGAAACGACCCTCTTACATTTCAATTGGCGAATTGACATAAAACAATCGAAGCTAATTTCGTTAACTTACCTATGTCAATGTAACTCAAACTTCTCTACTACGATTGGTGATGGTGCTAATAAAAAGGTATTGTTTAGGACTCTACGATATAAGAGAGAAGGAAAAATTAACTTTAAAATAGCTAACACACTTAGGTTCACGTACAACTTAGAAAGAGGATTCGCCTAAGACGCAGATCTGACGATTGCTTACTTGATCTGTCACTG